CCTCGGCACCTCGCGTAGACAGAGGGGGTCTGGAGCTCTGCAGAAGACCGGACACCGGTCTGGAAAGACGACATGGTCTCGTCCGTTCCTGGCAAGCCCCCTTCCTCGTCCTCCCGGACACTGGTCCCAGAGTGGCCTCCCTATCCTTTCTCACCAGATTTTACGGGGTGAGAAACGAGGTGAGGGCTCGGTCACTCACAGAGGTGCAGTGCCCGGCGCCCCCGGGGCGTGTGGGAGTGGGCCACGGTGGGCTCGGGGTGTCTCCAGAACGTCGCAGGCAAAGGTGGTCCCATCAAAAGGGCTAGCCCCCTGGCCCGTGGAGCCGGATTTGGGGTCGGCCTTGTGACATCTGCCCCCATTTCCAGAAGGCACAGGCTGGCCCTGGCCTCGCTGACAAATGCAGAATTCAGGAGACATTAGCAGTGATGTGGATGAAAGCCAGGCCACAGCGGCCTCGCTGGAAAAGAGCAGCCCGAACGTCTTGGCGTGAGATTCTGCAGGGTCCAGGAGAAAGTTGAAGACATGGAAATTCTAATTAATGCACACGGGGCTGGTTTTACTCAAGGATTTGCAAAGCTGTCATGTCGCAAGAGGCCAGGCAAGCACATGCTGACCAGGGAGGTGCTCACGGTCACCTGGCGGGGGTCTCTGCAGCTTTCTCTGTGCCTCTTCCCCACTCCCTGTGTCCATGCAGCCTTGGGGTCCTTGGTCCTCCCCCCATGCCCATCTCAGTGGACAGGTTGCCCCCTGAATGTTCCCTTGCAGAGTGGGACTGGGGAGGAGGTCTAGGAAACACGAGCTGGGCCCTGCCAGTCCAAGATGGCGGGCCCTTCAGGGAAACTGCACAGCTGGGCTGGGCAGCGCCGTGGGCTGTTGGGTTCGTGGTGGCCCCGACCTCTTGGGCTGCCTGTCTTGGGTGTCGGCTTGTTAACCGACAGGCCAGATGTGTAGATTCCAGGCCAGTCCTGGCCAGCTTGGCAGCCAGGGTGGGAGATGAGCCATTCACGAAAAGGGCTACAGCCCGCCAAGGCTGTTGGGAGAAGCCCACCCAGGCCACACCCTGCATGTGACCCCCGAGCTCAGAGCTGCAGATCCTCACACCCCCGGCCCTGTGTCTCAGGGTCCCCAGAAGGCACCTGCAGCCCTTGCGTCATTCAGGCAGGGCTGAAGGGGTGCTCTGTGCATGGGGTGGGGGGTGGCAGTCCTGGGGCTCCTCAGTGCCTGGGTCTTCAGGGGTTCTGGGGAAGGAGAGGCTGAGGGGGGCTTCACATATGCTGCTTCCTCCTGAACTTCAGGGCTCAGGGGAGCTGGCACTCAGGGCTTTGGGAGCCAAAGGAGGTCATATCTACCCGGCCTCAGAGTGTCCTGGGGGGCCTTGCTGAGGCAGGGACAACTGAGCAGACGTTAGAAAGATGAATGGGAATCTGATGGCTACAGATGAGTGACAAGGGCACTGCAGATGGCAGGATACCGCATGCAAGGCTCAAGGGCACACACACAGGCATCGTAGCCCTCCCTCCCACTGTCCTGCCAGCGGCCCCCGGGTGGGCGGAGAAGAGCAAGTGGGGCAGGATCCTGGGAACTCATCCTGGCCCTTGTTGGGGTATAGGGCTCCCCTGTCCTCATGGAGGTCCCCTACACACTGTCCGGGAAGGCCTGTGGACTGCACTTCACCCTGGCCTCTCAGAAGCCCTACAGCAAGGTCCTGGGTGGAAGCCGCAGGCTTCGGAAGCCTGAGACCCTGTTGGACCTGGGGAGACGGCTTCTGCCCGAACCGTGCGCGTGAGGCTGAGACTCAGCCCACGCAGGGCGGGGCACCCCTGGGTTTCACGGGCAGCACCTGGGCTTGCCTACCAGCTGGGGAGACAGCAAAGCCACTCTGTCCCCCAGCACCCAGCCCTGCTTGCCAACGATTCCCTGGAGCTTGCACGGGGCCCGCTTGCTGACTCCTTCCCACCCCCGGCCCCACCGCTGGCCGGCAGACCCCGGAAAGAGGAGCTTCATCCAGCCCGAGGGACCTTCCCGTAATCAAGGCTGCAGTGACCTCACCTCCCTGGGGCCCTGTGGGCGGGGAAAGCTTGAGATGGAAACAAAATGTGTCTTTATTTATGCTTTTAATTTGAATTCTGGAACCGGCCCAGCATGGTAATACACTTAACATCAGTAAAATGCTGCAGCAAAATGGATCTGTTTTTCGGTAACCACCTCCCTCCCCACACACCCCGTCCCCGAGAGACCCCCACACTCATCCCTGTCCCGAGGGCACGCACCCCTCTTCTCAGCGAGGGGTGCACGGGCTGGGCTGCCCACGGGGGCTTAGCTCCATCCCCAAGCAGCTGCAGCCGAGTTCAATTACAGGCATCAATCACCGGGCGAGCTGTGCGGGAGGCAGGGGAATGCGGCCCTGATGCGGGCAGGAGGACCTGGCCTGCCCGCCCCCCCTGCAGCCAGGCAGCCTGGCCCCGAGTAGACACGGTACCCAGCGCTGCCTGCCTGCTCCCCGACGGGGTGGGGCCTCTGCCCAGCCTTTTGTCCCGGGGCACCTGGGTTCCTCGCCCCGACACTTAATCCCTGCATCCCACCCTCTCCTCTGGGCCTCCCTGGAGAGACGGCACCCCAACTCCTAGGGATGGATGTAGGCGCACAGATACCCCTGTGCCCCGGCCCAGACTCCGCCCTGACCAGACCACGACGCCTCAAGGCAGCCCCTTTGCTGAAACCTCATTCTCCCCTTCCCCGGCCCCCCACCTCAGGCCCTCCGCCCAAGCACCGAGCCTGGGACCCTGCCCACTGTGCCAGGCTGGCTCACATCCAGCTGCAGCCTTTGGAAGGTCCTGTCCTTGGGAAAGAGCTTGCCAGGTTCCAGGGCAGGGAACTGGCTGGGTGGTGACTGGGGTGTCTGCCCTGCTTGGGCCCAGAGAGCACTGGAGGAGCCACCCTGACCCCGGCGGCCCATGGGAGTGCCAGCCTGAGAAGGCCCCTGGCGGCTTCCTGGATGGTGACACGCCAGGCCCAGGGTAGGGCTGGCAGCGGCCTTAGGTTCAGGTATCTCAGGCTCCGCCATCTTGGAGGGGGACAAGAAATGGCTTACTGACCAGATGAGCAGGTCACCCCCAGGGCAGGTGGGCAGCCTGGCTACAGGGAGCCTGTCACGTGCTGATGACAGCACGGGCAGCCCTGGGGTGATGACGAGGCAGCTGAGGCTTGGCCATCGTGCACACCTATGTCCAGTCTTTCACCAGCTTCACCTGGGCCTACCTGTAGCGGCTTCTCGGGACCCAGAAGCAAGGGGGTGGGAGGTGGGCCTGACTGCCCAGCTGGATGGACGGTGGGCGGGTGACAGCCCCGTCCTCCCGGGCTGTGACTGTGTACATATCTGTAGGCTGGTCCATGGCCGAGAGAATGAAGGAGAAGAGCTCCAACAGGAGGAAAGAGTAGCCAAGAGGACAAGAAGGGACAGGCCGAGTGGCCCAGTGAGGCCTGGGTGGCATCTGGGCCCAAACCCTGAGGCATTCCTGGGTTCCCAGTGTACTCCTGGCTGTCCTCTGAGCAGGTACGGCCACCCATGCTGCGTGTGACTCCAGTCACAAAACTCCATTTGACACTTTTGGGTCTCTCACACCCAGACTTGGTGCAAGGCCTGGCCACAGTGTACGCCGTCGTTCTGCCTTCTGGCCCCTGTTCTCGCCCAGCCTGTCTGGCGGCCACCCTGTTGGTACCTCGGCTCCTGCCTGTTGACCTAGCCGGCCTGTCGGACGGTCTTCAGCAAGGATTCGACGCTCCAAGCCCTCGGCCCAGGGCGTCCATGAGGAGTTAGTTGTCCCTGCTCCCCAGTGACCTGCTGGCTCTCCTGGAGCCCGTTAGCACTCCCTTTCCACGCCGTGCTAGCCACGGGGTGTTGCCAACCTCCCCGAGAACCTGGGGGCCTGGAGAGACGCTGAGCAGGTCCTATCTGATCATCATTACACCTTAAGACAGCCTGTCCTGTCCCCTTCCCTGGGGGTGGCCTCATTCTGGCCTGACCTTGCTAGCCCTCTGGTTACAGGAGCGGCCCCTGGCACTGTGGGTCCCAGTTGCCTTAGTCACCTGCGAGGCCACGCCCACACCTGGTGGGCAGCAAAGGCAGGAGGCGCAGGTGCCCCACAAAGACAAAGGCGCGCGCGGTTCAGGACACCCCCCCAACCCGCAGACGGTCTGAAGAGCGAAACGTTGTTTAGAGAAAAGTCGGTAAGAGACGCAGAGAGTCCCAGCAGGCGCCCCTCAGAAGGGCTGAGACTGTTGCTCACACGACCTGGCACCTCTCAAGGGGGGGTCCCCGACGAGACAGTGGCCGGAATGGGCCCCTGTGCCTCCCTGGCCCTCGCGCACGGCTGCTACCGCCGGGCGCCCCGGCCGGGGCACTGAGTCACACGTCACGGGAATCACGCCATGGCCGGGCACCGGGATTGGCCTGGAGAAGCCGTGACGGCGGGGGTGGACGGGCATGTGTCCCAGGCCAGCTGCGCCTCAGGAAGGCCCACTGGAAGGCGTGGAAAATCAGCTATTTCCTCCACCTGAAGGAGCCCCTGGGGACAGCCGCGGCAACTGGCAAATCGCACCCAGCATCTGCCCTGTCTTTGGCCCGGGTTCCGTGGGGAAATGCCGCAAGACAAAGTCGCCTCTTTTCTGGGGGGTGGGGCGGGGAGGGGGACAGGGGAGAGAAAAACAGTCTTCTCAGATGCTCGAACCATGAAAACAAGTGGAAAATGATCTGTCTGGTTTTCCATAAGTCAAAACAGGAGGATCATGTTCCCACACTCGGTGGGAAGCACCCCTGCTCTCCTCGGCTGCTCCGCCGGGGCCAGCCCCCGCGGCCTGCCACGCCGGGGTCCTGAGGGCGGGCGCGGGTCCAGGCGCTGGGCAAGTGGGCAGTGCCCCCGGCCAGAGCACGGGCCTCCTCCGGCGCCCAGGTGGCTTCTCTGAGCCCCTGTGCCCGTGGGGCGCAACTCCACGGTACTCACTGTGAGACATGGGTGATGGGTGCCAACAGCGTCTCCCCTTCCAGGTCCAGGTCCTCGGTGAAGCTGTTGGTTCTCATGAAGTGGGGCGTGGTCACTTCCAGCAGCGTGGGGCTCTTCCTCACTGCAGGGAAAGTCGGGGGACAGCACGTTAGGTCTCCCACTCCAGCCTGCCACTGCTGCGGGACACACTCGCGACACGCTCCCAGGGCCAAGGGAGGAGCGGGGACCGAGCCTAGAAGCTCCCACCCTGACGGGCTTATAGTTGGGTGGAATGGGTGGGTTTTTAAGGTGGTCCCCAAGTATCTGAGGCCTCCGCGTCTGAAGAAGGGAGAGGCCCGTGAATGCCCCTCAGATTGGCACCTGCCTGGGGCGGAGCTCAGGTGCCCGGGACTCGCCCCACCTCAAGCTCTGGGCCTCTCCCCTGTGTCGCACCTGACACATTTGGGTCAAGACTGAAACGGAAGTGATAAGCACAGGTAGGAGATACCGACTGCCACACCATGCTAGCACACTCACACAGTGACAAAGCAACGGGCCAGGAAGGACTGGGCGGTGGGTGGCGGCAGCCCTGCCCATGAGGAGCTGCAAGCCCAGGAGGGCGGGGCAGGCACAGAGCACCTCACTCAACACGGGGTGCCTCATCAACACCTGCGGCCCGAAGGAAGCACAGGAACCACCCGGCAGCTGGCTTCACATGCGTGTTCCTGGGCCCGCCCCTCCGTGGTTCTGACACAGGAGCTGAAGGGCCTGACCTGTGTCCATCTCCACTCCACCCGTTCCCTCAGTGCTTGCTCTGGTCTTAATTTTTTCTTCATTTAACGTTTTTGTAGCAAAAAGATTTAAGCACTAATTGCAGGCAGAATAATTCGAAGATTTGCAGTGGCTGAGTGACCCATCAAAGTCCTCCGTGCGGACCGCCAGCTGGGTCCCTAGCCCCCGCCGCCTCTGCTCGTCCTAGCGGCAGATGCTAGGTGCGGCGACTGTATACACGCGGGGCAGCTCGCATCGCTTGGTTCCTGTCTTTCTGCAACACGCTCACCTAACTTTTCCCCAGGTATACACGCCTGGCTCTAATTCTCATTTCAGTAACAGCATAATAGTCCGTAGGTTAGACTGGCCGAAATTAGTTCCATCTATTTTGTGTTTCATGGACATGCGGTCTCTTTCACTTTGAGCCACTTCTTCAGGCAATGATGCAACGCCCACCTTTATTCTTAACAGCCGACGTGTCGGAGCAGGGTGCATGGATGGATGCATCTATTGGTAATTCTAATGGACGTTGCTGGATTGCTTTTTCCCAAGAAGTCATAGCAATTCAGACTCCCTCAGCTTCCCCACATCCGTGCCTGGAAGGACTGTCAGCACCCTTAGCAGGGCCCGCCAAGTGTGGATAAAAACCAAGGCCCTGCGGTCATTTCCATCTGTGCTGGCACCTTGTATGCACTTGGTGTCTATCTGCGTTTCCTCTTGTAGAATTGCCTATTCATATTCTTCGCTCATTTTTGCTTAATCACTTTGTAGGAATTTTTTTTTTTATAGGTTAGAGATATTACTTTGTTTTATGGGACACAAGTATCTTCCCCAGTCTACCTTTGGTTTTTTTTTTTTTTTTGAGACAGAGTCTCGCTTTGTTGTCCAGGCTAGAGTGAGTGCCGTGGCGTCAGCCTAGCTCACAGCAACCTCCAACTCCTGGGCTCAAGCGATCCTTCTGCCTCAGCCTCCCGAGTAGCTGGGACTACAGGCATGCGCCACCATGCCCGGCTAATTTTTTATATACATATCAGTTGGCCAATTAATTTATTTCTATTTATAGTAGAGACGGGGTCTCGCTCTTGCTCAGGCTGGTTTTGAACTCCTGACCTTGAGCAATCCGCCCGCCTCGGCCTCCCAGAGAGCTAGGATTACAGGCGTGAGCCACCGCGCCCGGCCTACCTTTGTTTTTTTTAACTTTAATGGTGAATTAATTAATTAGAGACAGGGTCTTACTCTGTTACCCAGGCTGGAGTGCCGGGGTGTGTTCATAGCTCACTGTAACCTCTAACTCCTGGGCTCCAGTGATCCTCCTACCTGAGCCTCCCAAGTAGCTAGTACTACAGGCATGCACCACCATGCCTGAATGTTTTTTAAACATTATTTTTTGTAGAGATGGGGTCTCACACTACGTGGCCTAGGCTGGTCTTAAACTTCTGGCCTCAAGGGAGCCTCCTGCCTCAGACTCCTAAGGTGCTGGGATTACAAGCATGAGCAACTGTGTATGGTCTTAATTATTATTTTTTAAAATCATAGAAAATATTTTATGTTTTTAAAGTGATATACCTTGCTTTATGAGAAAGGTTTTCCCACACCAAAGTATTAATAATACAATACTCTCCTAAATTTATTCCTAACATAAATATACGGATGTGTTGTGTGTATACATGTGTGTGCAAATTTTAATCCATTTAGCATCTATGCCTAATGTTGGAAATGATCAACAACTAGAAAATGAAAACTTAAAAGGTATTATATACTTTAGAAAACTAAAGTAAAACATAAAACTATAAATTTTCTTGAAGAAAACATAGGAGAAAATCTCTAGGACCTTGGATTTGGCAGTGAATTTTGAAATACAACACCAAAAGCTCAACCCATAAGAGAAAAAGAATCAACAAATTGGATTTCATTACAATTAAGAGCTTTTGCTATTAATGGAATGAAAAGACAAGCCACAGACTTGGAGAAAATATCTGCACGTCACCTGTCCTGTCAAGGATTTGTACCCAAGATATATAAAGAAAGCTTACAACTTGACAACGATAAAGCAAACACTCCAATGTAAAAAACAGCTTAAAAATAAGCGAGTGAGACTCTGTCTCAAAAAAAAAAAATAAAAATAAGCGCATGAAAAGATACTCAATCAACATCAATGGTCATTATGGAAATGCAAATTAAAACCACAATGAGATACCACTACAGCATTATTAGAGTGGCTATAATTAAAAAGAAAAAAAACCAAAACCTAACAATACCAAGCCATGTTGAGGATGTGGAGCAACTGGAACTCCCACATGTTGCTGGGGGAAATGAAAAACGGCACAGAGACTTTGGAAAACAGTTTGGCAATTTCTTACGAAGTTATACGAACACAAACCATGTGACATGGTTGTATGTCAGCCCCCTTTCCCACATATGTACCCAAGTGAATTGAATATTTATGTTCACCAAGCCCTGTATATAAATACACAGAGCAACTTTACTTACAATAGTCAAATACTGGGACCAACCAAGATGTCCCACAGCAGGTGAATGGATGAATAAAATATGGTACATCCATGCAATGGAATATCACCCAGCAACAAAAAGAAATAAACTAATGATTTCATGCAACAGCATGAATGAATCTCAAGCGCTTTTTGCTGAACAATAAAAGAAGTTAGATGCAAAAGGCTACATGTTGTAAGATTCCATTTATAGGACATTCTAGAAAAAAAAAAATCACAGGGATGCGAAACAGATCGATGGCTGCCAGTGGTTACGGGAGGAGGAGTATTTGACTTCAGAAGGCTCATGCCGGGGCATTTTTAGGGGAATGGAACTTCTCTGTATGATACCGTGTGACATATGACTCCAGGAATTCGTTAAAGCCCACAGAAGTATGAATCTCCAAGAGTGAGTTGCGCTGTGTGCAAATTAACAGAAATCAACCAGGATGTTTGAGTACCCTTGGATGGAAAGCAAGCCGGTGATAAGTGAGTTCTAAGTGTGTTACAAATGTATGACATATCACTGAAAAAAGAGGTGAAGAAGGGGCTGGCCTGTGTTGCTTTGAGAAACAATGTTTTGACTGGACACTGGATGGTTAAAGACAAAACAACGCATAAACACTATATTCTCGTGGGCAAGTTTGTTCACTACATGTACAATAGGGTTATACAATTCAGCCAGTCAACTGTAAGTAATGGCAGCCAGGCTTCTCACTGTCAGAGAAAAGGTTACAAGCAAGCGTGTGTGGTGCCTGTGGGTATGAACTCATGGCTAGTTTAGTGCAGATCCAGATAAACACGGAAGTGTAGACCACGTGTGCACGCTCAGGCTATGCACATACTACATGTATCTTCAAGCTCCGTCTGATGAGAGGAGATAGAAGTAGTGACATCCCGGTAACTGTGAGGATGTATACCTCATGCCCAGACCCTGGTTTCTAAATACCATTCATTCTCCAATGAAAGGATCCAGGGCTCTCTGGATAAATGGGTGATTCTAGGGCCGGGGCAGGGAAAATACAAGAGGAGCCTGAAGTATTGCTGTCTAATGCTAGAAGAGATGAGCGTGCTAAAAAAATAAATAAATGAATAGAATAAGGGCACATCAAAAGGACCCACAAACCAACCAATGGCCAGAGCTAGAATAGTTTGAGCAGCAAAACAAATGATGATAGTATTGGATAACTCAATAAATAAGTACTTCTGAGTCCATACTGATAAGATTAAATAAATAATTGGAGGAGAGCGCTGGATCTTCCTTACAGAAGAATTCCAAGTAATAAATACGGAAGGAATGAGGAGAATAGAAACACGCCACAGTCATTGCTGACCCACGGACGAACGCTCAAATCAGTAGGTGAAACTTTAAGGAGAAACTTCAAAGGGTTTCCTTCAAAATCATGTTTTAATTGCTGTGGTGGCTTTAACATATGTTCACAGATTCTTTGATACGCGCCCTGCAGGAGGTAGGGCTGAGCTCCCCTCCCCCGAGTTTGGGCTGTATCTGGCGACTTGTTTCTAAGGACTAGACTGTGGAAGGGGAAAGACAGTGACTCAGTTACAGCGGAGGGACTTGGCCACCACCACCTTCACCGAGGGATTCAAGGTTAACGCCATCAGTGATAAGTCACGCTGCTGTCACGTTCCACCGGTAGGATGCGATGAGAAAAGCACCCTGCGTTGGTGGCGTTCTTCCCCCAGGGCTATACCCCTAGTCTAACTTTGAGAAAACACCAGACAGACCCGAACAGTGAAGGAGTCTGACACCTGACCAGTATTTTTCAAAAGTGTCAAGGTAATGAAAAACAAGAATGAAAAGTTGTCACAGATCGCAGGAAGGACTCGGGAGGGAGACCTGAAGAATAAAACATAATAATGG